ATTGTAAATACAATTACAACAAAATCCCAAACAGAGGGGGGCATGACACAAGGGGGCTGGAAATAGTGTCTAGATAGAAAAATACCCCACATATATAGGCTGTGTAACAAATAGACAAATAAAGGTTCAACCCCCCAAATGTTTGGTGCCATTAGATGCCTCCTCACTCCCTTCAGGTGTTTTCAAAAATGGATGCGCTGGGCATGCGGTTTATATGCTGCCCCTCCTGCTGCATAAGGTGGGGTAGGGGCTTTGTTTTTGTGACATAGGACGTTGATAATCAGAATGTGCTTGCGCTAGAAGATGTCTGGCTGAAAAAACAGGGAGACAAGTCAGCCAGCCGTGTATTAATGGAAGCAACCCCTCCCCCTGATAATTTTGACAACGTCAATGAAAATGACCATCAGTAAAACCGTCCTCACGGCCCCCGAATGGAGGACTGTGGAGCAGCAGGGAAGACGCCAAAACTGCCACCACATCAGATGGGAAATGGAAACCTGTTCTCTCTATACTATAATGATAAAAGACTCAAAAATTGTTTTTTTTCCATGGATATTGTGTTTCATATAATTACAATAGCATGCAACTTTCTAGAATATTAATCGTGATTCTTTGAAGAAATAAAGAGGGAGAGGAGATTTGGGTAATGCAGTTTGTGTGTCATTGTGGGGTTGCATTCAACACGTGGTGTAAATCCAGACTGGTGCAAAGTTCCATAGATTGAAAAGGCAGGCGAGAGGTTATACTTCTAGCTTTCACTCTGTGCATTGCGGTGCAATTTATTTAGAGCACCATCCAGCCCACAAGTACGGTAGGTGGCAACAAAAAGCTCCGACTTCAGAAAGCATATTCTGTTTGTTCTGGTGCACTGCAATAAAATGGTGTAGGTTTGGCTTTCCTTCTGTTTCCCTGTGTCGGCGGTCTAAATGATTGGGCTGCCTAAATTAACATGCAAAATACAGCATATGACACAATCGAATGAAGGGGCCCTAAAGTATCCTTAGATGAAACCTGTGCTGAGAGGAATTTGGAGTCTGCCATTGCTGACTTTCTGAAAATGCTTGTATTTGGGCCATCATGCTTATCTGTCATTCTTTGCAAGTCATTGACCTGGAACAGGCTTGCAGATCAGGAGTTGTTACAACAGTATGACTTCTGCATGCTTGGTCCAGGTCAATGGTTCAAAATGTTCAACACAGTCAGAATCATTATCATAGCCAGCTTTTCATTAGGAGGCAAGGAAATGCAGCCTTCAGGTTTATTTTGCATCAGTTTCCTCTAAGGAGGGAATTCCTCTCACTTCCTGTATCCCTGAGACAGGAAATTGAGGGAAATCTTCCCAAAAGGACACAGAGCGCAAAAACCCTAAGCTAAAAATTCTAGACTCACTAAAGCCACATAAGTTGATGATTTTGTTTTGCATTTTCTAGGCATTCTTGGATTTACTTGTATTGCTTTTTAATCTTCACCACTGTGCACATCTCTGCAGCCTTGCTCCTCAACATCCTGTGTGTGCAGACCGCTGAAGAGTGGAATGGATTGTTGTTTCAGAGCTACGAGTCTCATGATGCTTTGCATGCTGCTGGAAACATTTTATATACTGGTATGTCATCTTGTAATTGTGAATACCAGTGGGCCACTATGGGTGACAACGTTCCTCCTACATGCAGACCATGGAAAGGCATTATTGTCATCCTCTTACAGGAAGTCCTGGGAAAAGATTTTTGGTGCTTAATTTATTGTTCAAAGCAAGCTTCCCTGGGAAAAGCACATTGGATAATAGGTGTAGTAACTTAAGATTATTTTACATCTAGGGTTTAGGTATACCCTAATGTAGAATTAAAGAGAACCTGTGGCAAATATGAAAAACTACTGTAACAAATGTATTAGGGATGCACTGATACCGGTTTTTCGGTATCTAGTACAAGTACTGATATTTTGCTTTCGGTACTCGCAGATACTGAGTACCGATACCAGTGCTTCCGCTGGCATGGAGCCTGCTTCCTGGGCAATCGGGAAGCCGGGCGGCGAGTAATGACCCAGCTTCCTGATTGGCTGGAAAGCTGGCTTTCCAGCCAATCAGCAAGGAGCCGGCTTGATGCTACTTGGCCAGGAAGCCGGCTTCCCAGCCAATCAGCAGGGAGCTGGCAGAAATGTTGATCTTCCTCTGACCAAATACTCCATATCTGCACTGATACTAGTATCAGTATCGGTGCATTCCCTAGTATTTTATATAGGGCCAACATTTCATGCAGCACTTTACATACTAGCACATTCACATCAGTCCCTTCCCTCAAGTAGCTTACAATCTATGGTCCCCATGTCGCATACATACAGGGCAAATTTACACAGGAGCCAATTAACCTTCCAGCATGTCTTTGGAGTGTTGGAGGAAACCCACACAAGCACAGGGAGAACATGCAAACGCCTTGCCTGCATCCAAGTGCATTGTTCAGGTATTTTGAGATGTGTGAAAGTTTGGAAACCACCCTGTCCTAGTTCCATAATCACATCATTGGTGTCAGGAAATTTGCATAGATGTACATATGATTAGATTTGCATTTGATTTACATGGCTGAAGGTGTGAATTGTCAAAATGGCATTACATGTGGCACACAGATCGTGTCATAGCCCCCCACCCTTGTTTCAAAATAGTTCCAGTTTGACATAGAGGATCTCTTTCCCATCTCTCAGGAACCAGCTGTCCTCTGTCCTTGAAAGAATGCCCTTTTCCTTAAAGGGTTTCTAAACCCTCTGGTGTTTTTGCATATATCTACTGCTAGCAAGCAATAGATATATACAAAAAGTAAACAAAAAACAACCCGCTTTAAACTTACCTGTGTCTTCCCCGCATGCTTCCTTCGGAAAATCTGAAAATCCTCGGGCAGCTGCATGCGCAGTTCAGATTTTCGGCCGGGAGACGAGGAGAGACACAAGGTAAGTCTATGGGCGCGTGCACCCGCATGCAGCCACCGTGGGACAGGAAGTGTCAGCAAGGACAGAGGAGTCAGCGCTGGATCGGAGAGAGCTGCAGCAGCGCTGGAGAGAAGGCTGGAAAGGACAGAAGATCGGATTAAGAAACATTTAAGGTAAGTGCTTTAATTAACATTGGGGGAGGGGGGAAACATTTTTTGCCTTTAATGTCACTTTAAGGTGTAAACTGCTTGACCTGGCCAATTCCGGTGTTGGGCCATTTGTTTGAAAAGTTTTAGTTTTTTTTGTCTCTAAAGTACAGGTCTTTGCATTCCTCACAACACTGTACTTCATGTACCAAGTTCCTTCACTTGTGTTTAGGTATTGGACGTACAAGCTTCTGTCTCATTGTATTGCTTGCGTTGAATGGAACATGGATGCGGTGTTTGTTAAAAATCCATCTTAGGGTTTTTTTTTTCTTTCTTTCGATACTCCAGCTCCATACAGGCTTGACTATTACTCCATCTGTTCTGTGTACTTTCCCCTTCTTTCATCCCCAGCGTACATGAATCTCCATGCTTCAGTCACCAAGCCAACCCTTCCATAACCTCTGAGAAGGCGTCCTATCCAATACCCACAGAGAAACCTGCATACAGCAGACATTTCAAGTTCTCATAAAGCCATGGCTACTGTAAACCTAATGCTGGGCACACACCTTACAACCATCGCAAGACTTTTGTCTTGCGATGGTTGTAAGGTAAATTTTTTTTAAAAAGTACGATCTGCCTATCTTGGACAGGCAGATCGTACTTGCGATGATCACCAGCCCGCCACGCTGAGGGGCGGGCTTCCGATGATCGCAATGCCGAACGGGCAGTGTGCGCTTGCGCACACCGGCCCATCTGGCTTTTATCTTACGAACATGCTACACACCCGCCGAACATCGTACGATGCTCGGCGGGTTTTCAAACATGTTCGTAAGATAAATGTCATGCGACCTTACAGTAGTAGAGGTCGCACGGCTTCCACACACCTTACGATAATCGTACGATCGCAGGATTTCCCGCGATTATCGCAAGGTGTGTGGGCACCTTAAGGCTGGACATGCATACAGGATTGGATGATCTCTTGGAATCTTCTGGCAGAACTGCTCCTGGAATGGGAATGTCCTGGTCCTATCAGTTCTCATTTGCACTACTTGTATTTTTTTTTTCCTTTCTCCACTGCCCACAAATAAACAGAAGTGTTGCTAATATATTTTTTTCTCTAAATGTGGCCTACTGTTTTTGTGACCATTACTTTAAAAACTGCAAGTAATACATTTTGTAACTAGTAAGCAAACTACTGTATTTGTGGGTTTTTTAATTTAAATATAGGACATGCTGTTGCTAATAATTTACATCTCAAAATAAAAGATTAGAACCAGTGACCACAGGTGAGGTTGTTGTAGGAAATATTGTACATACTGTCCTGAAGGCTTTGGGATAGATTGTGTTCTTTAAGGCTGCATTCATACCTCTGCGTTTTAGTGTGATGTTTGCATCTGATTACAGCAAACTGCACTGGTCATGGGGGGGACGAATAAATGACAAGTGTAACTCGCACCACAAATAAAAATAATACAGAAGTGTGAATGTAGCCTTAGGCAGAGCAACACAATCAATTCAACCCAAGTTCTAGCTGGAATAACCATAGACAGAAATCATGGCAACATCATATTATTTTAGTGCTAAAACATCGAGTAACCTCGTAGAGCTGACAACATGCACTGTAATTGTGTACATCACAATATCCATTGGATACAAAATATAAATGATACTTGGCCCTGGTGTACAGAAATAATTGGGACATGTCCAACTCTCTGGGCATTTTTTTTTCCCCCCATATTCTTTGAAGAGTATAAAATGTGTGTGCACCTAAATTCTGCTGAAGAGGATTTGGCTTTAAAGAAATAGGATTGTCAGACAATGTTATGTCAGACATTAGACCACTGCTTGAAGAGCTTTTAGGGTCATATAATTTATTATGACCCTCATTTGGAATTTCTTAATGGGTAAGCACAGCCAGTTTTTTGGGGGGGTTTTTTTTAGCCGCATTCGGCTGCCCCAAAACGTTAAACTTAATACAAAGTAAACATTTGTGTTCAATGTTCCTTCATGGTCCGTGTATGTTACATCCACAGCCGAACTCAGAAGCTGAATGTAGACTAAAGTTCAAGATGTGACAGAGCCAAGGTGGTAATAGTTCACGATGATGGGCTTGAAGCCATTCCGATAAACACTGTGCTATTCACTGGTACTGCTGGTAACTACCAAATGGAGGTGTGTTCAGCTGAGAGGCATCATCAGGTATGGGTGGACCTAGGAATAAACATAGCAGTTTAGTATTCAGTTTGTGCCAGGGAGTAAGGAAGTTACCCTTCAACTGCTACAGATCATTCCAACCAAATATCTGGTTACTAAAATGTTTCACAGACTAATAAACAGAATATGGGCCTGTGTCAAAGGGCAAATGCAGCTTGAATTTGTCATCAGTTTAAAGCACTTCAGCCAGAATTCATTTGACCTACTTTTGCAATCCCAGGGAGAAAAGCACCATTGACACAGGCCCTACAGTGGAAACACTAGGGCCCCTTGGAAAACATGCAGTTAAATAAATAAAGCTACTAAACAAAACAATGCCCATATGAAAGCCGGCGGGAAGTTTGAAAGTGAAAAAAAAATAAAAATATTTAAGAGAAAATAAGGGGGAAAAAAATACGGCCATCATACGGCCAGTGAAACGCGCGTTTCACTGAACGGAAAAACGTGCTAAAAAACTAGCAGAAAAAAATATGTATGGAAGGCGTGTGACCGTTCCTTCTGTACGATTGCACGTCTTCAGTCGAACAAGAAGGCTGGAAAACCTGCCGAGAATCGTACGTGCTTGTTCAACAACTGCCGAACGGGCCAGTGTGCGCATGCGCACACTGCCGTTCAGCACTGCAGTCATCGGAAGCCCGCCCTGATCGCAAGTACGATCTACCTGTCCAAGATAGGCAGATCGTACGTTTTTTTAAATTACTTTACAACCCTCGCAAGACAAAAGTCTTGCGAGGGTTGTACAGTGTATGGCCAGCTTAAAGGTAAATTTAAAAAACATACGATCTGCCCATCTTGGACAGGCAGATCGTACTTGCGATCAGGGCGGGCTTCTGATGACTGCAATGCTGAACGGGCAGTGTGCGCTTGCGCATGCCGGCCCGTTCGGCATTTGTCTCCCGAGAACGGCACTAACCCGCCGACAAGCGTACGATTCTCGGCGGGTTTTCAAGCCTGCACGGGAGACAAAAGACGTGCGACCGTACAGTAGAAACGGTCGCACGCCTTCCGGACACCTTGCAATTATTGACGATCGCTGGTTTTCCCGCGATTATCGTACGGATAAGCGCTAGGTGTATGGGCACCTTTAGTCCACTAAAAAACATGTCAGCATGAAGAATGCATAGGAGGAGGAAGACAAAAACCTTTAGGTTTTCTCAAACTGCTGTAGACAAACAAGCAAACATAAGATAGCAGATACTCTTACCTCTTATTTCCCCCCCCATATCCCTTGTACCAGCAGGGCTCTCTCTACCATTGCACCTGGTTATTGCTGGGTTTTTTTTCTGTACAACTATGTACTTGTCAGTGTGTACTGTATTATCTGTACAACCTACCCGTATTATATCTCTAACTTTGTGCGTAATCTTGGGAGATAATGATGCAATATAAAACAGTCATAATACTGATTGAACCTAAATCTCTGACTGTAAACGGGTCCACTTACCATTTGCAAACTGTGATGAGGCAAACCGCGTCAACAGGATTCCTGCTCCTTCTATAAGAGCAAGAAGAATGCCACCCATTGCTGCAGATCCCACCATGGCTACAGGACCATCTGAGGAAAAAAGAAAAAAACACACATAAGGCAAATCAGCGTTGTTATAAAGCACAAGAAATAATGTAAACGGAGGGAACTCGCCCCACATCACACTGTAACCAGAAGCAACAAATATGCACAGGCCTTTTGTTACCCGCGTCACTCTAATACTCACTTCTGGCAGCCAGGATGGCCCCAGTCATGGCTCCACTGGTGATAGAGTTCCAAGGATCCTCCTTTCCTCTAACCTTTACCAGACTGCAATCTATCATAGAGAAGAGGCCTCCCCACACTGCAAAGCTACCTGATGAAAAATAGTGGAAATCAGGAATAAAGACATTAAGAAAATTGTCGTATTCACACAATGATCAGTAAACCTATAAACACAAGTTACTCTATTATAAAAATACTAATATTTATGCAAAAGTTACAAAATGTGCACATAATGTAACGGTTTGCATATACACTATATTGCCAAAAGTATTGCGACACCCCTCCAGATCATTGGATTCAGGTGTTCCAATCGCCTCCATGGCCACAGCTGTATAAAATCAAGCACCTAGGCATGCAGACGCTTCTACAAACATTAGTGACAGAATGGGTCGCTCTCAGGAGCTCAGTGACTACAAGCGTGGTACCGTGATAGGTTGTCACCTCTGCAATAAGTCCGTGGAATATTTAGTAGCAAGAAATTTCATGGGCGGTCACCTGTTAGTGGTATTATAACAATATGGAAGTAATTGGGAACAACAGCAACTCAACCACAAAGTGGTAGGCCATGTAAAATGACAGAGCGGGGTCAGCGCACAGTAGTCGCCAACTGTCTGCAGATTCAATAGCTACAGACTTCCAAACTTCATGTGGCCTTCAGATTGGCACAACAACAGTGCGTAGAGAGCTTCATGGAAAGGGTTTCCATGGCCGAGCAGCTGCATCCAAGCCTCACATCACCAAGTGCAATGCAAAGTATCAGATGCAGTGGTGTAAAGCACGCTGCCACTGGACCCTAGAGAAGTGGAGATGTGTTCTCTGGAGTGACAAATCACGCTTCTCTGTCTGGCAATCCGATGGACGTGTCTGGGTTTGGCGGTTGCCAGAAGAACGGTACTTGCCTTCTAAAATGGTATTTATGCAATCTATGATTATACAGCAATGAAAAATGGCAACCAGCAATAGAAGACTACAAATCTCAGCAATCCATGATTGCTTGTTGCCATTCTTCATTGCTGTATAATCATGGATTGATGTGACCTGTAGTCCTCTATAGCAGCGTTTTTCAACCACTGTGCCGCGGCACACTAGTGTGCCGTGAGATATTGTCTGGTGTGCCGTGGGAAAAATTCAAATTTCATCCGTAACATGCGGCTTCGGCTCATAAATAGACCAATCATTAGAATCTAATGATTGGTATATTTGTGAGCCAAAGCCGCATGTTACGGACTATAAATAGCTCCGGTGTCACTGTTACACTGACAGGACAGGGGTGTGGAAATCGTATCGCCCGACGCCCGGGACATGCAGTTTCGGGCGCCGGGCAGGTAGTTTCTTCAGTAGTTTAGCCCTGCTGCGGGCAAGTAGCAGGGCTGAGATGTTTTTTTTTTTATTACCGGTGCGAGAGCAGGGGACGCGGGTCGGCAATGGAGCCGCGACGAGAGCTGGGAGCGTGGAGCAGCCGCGATGACATAGCTGGGGCCGTGGAGCGGCGGTGACCGCGTATAGAGCGGTGATGCAGCCGCGTGACAGAGCAGGGGGGCGTGGAGTAGTGACGGCGTGGAGAAAAGATGAAGCCGTGACAGAGCCGGAGGGGTGGAGCGATGAAAGGTTCTGTCACGTCTCCAGCTCGGGGGGAGGAGCCGGTGACGTGACAGGAGCTCTGAGCCGTTACAGAGCCGGAGCATTGATAGAGGCAATTCTGCCAGCATCCCTCAGAGGACCCCCCTTTCTGCAGGTCTTGTCACGCTCCTAGCAACTGGGAAGGTGAGGGGGTTCTTTTCCATGACACACCAGCAGTGTGCACTAGTGAGACTGAGAGCTGTTGACGAAGAGCTACGTGTGTGTCTTTCTTTGATTCCTGCCAGAATATCAGCTTTGTGTTCAGCCAAACAGGCCCAGTTTTCGCACTGAGTAAGTAAACAGAAATATGAACAATTATAAAATACTTTATTATTTCATAATAAAGTAATTATAAAATAATTTCTTTGTGTTTATTTGATTCCTATTCAAGAGAATTACTTTATATATAGTCAATATAGGCACAGAGGTACATTTTTTTAACATTTTCTAATGGTGGTGTGCCTCGTGATTTTTTTCATGAAAAAAGTGTGCCTTTGCACAAAAAAGGTTGAAAAACACTGCTCTATAGCCAGTTGCCATGCTCCCTTGCTGTATAATCATGGATTGGTGAGTTTTGTAGTCCTCTATAACCAGTTGCCATGCTCCATTGCTGTATAATCCTGGATTCAGTTACAGTTCTACATAATTATAAAGTAGCTGCCCTATAATCATTAGTCTGTATTGCTTTAGAACAAATGTCACCTGTCCCTTTAAGAAAAAGTATCAGTAATTGGTATCAGCAAGCACCTGAGGGAAAGTACTTGGTCTTGAAAAAATGGTATCTGGACATCCCTACTTTTAACCCCTTTGAGTCTGAATGAATTTTTACCAAGGATGTGCTGATTGTTGCAAAGGAATCTACAGTTCAGTTGCAATTCCGGAGCATATGGATTTGGCTGGGGTGTGACTTGTTTTTTTGCATGTACCATCAGCTAAACTGGGAAAAAGATCACAGTGGGGTCAGTCGGCTCTGCCGATTGTGTAAAAATAGGCAGTTTGCTCATTGCCAGTCAGTGACAGATTTACCCCTATATTGTAACCACAAGGACATTTGTTCTCGCAGAGAACCTCGGTGCCAGCTGTGCTGGACCTATGTTTTAAAAAAAGTCTAGTTTCCTGGCTTTGTCGGCTTCAGTGGTATGCAGCAAACTTAAGTCAGAATTAATGTATTCTATATGCCCTCAGGAGCTCCCAACTTGGGAACGCAGATTCTGACTATAGGCCTTTTATAGAAAGTGATTTGTGTAGTAACATTTCTCTCCACCACTAAACCCTTTTATTATATCCCATGTTTTGATAAATGTCACCTTTTATATATTACATGATAACCCTTGACAATATCTCAACTAGCTCTTTCAATATTTATAGAAAGTATGTTATTTAGGTGCATTACTCCATTAAGGCAGAGGCAGGCAACATGAGACCTTGATACTGGGACTTCTAGTTTCACAGAAAGCTAGATCCCAATGGGTTACACAAGGCAGCATCAATCCAAGACAATTTCTAAAGAAATATTAAACTTGACAACCTGCAGGGCACTAAAACAGATGTAAAAGCATCTCTAAACCTGGTTGTTACACAAGCAACAGGGCATATGTAAACATTTGTTTACTCAATTCACATTCTGTAGTTTAAGAAATTAAAGTCAAAAGGATTAAGCTATTTCAAATGCTGATGAAATCACAATGGAGGACGCTTCTTAGTGTTTATAAGTTTTAGTTTCCTGCAGAATCAGCTGGTCTCCTGAGCACTGGTCCTGACTTCCTGTTTTACAGTGACTCCTTTCTCAAGCAGAGTGCTATGCAGTCACCCCTGTGTGTGTGCTAGTAATCCAAACACACAGACACAGAAAAACAAGCTACTTCTCTTTCTCCTAGTCCCCTCTCCAGGCTAGCAGAAGATGAACAGTTGCTGGATTCTGCATTGTCCTTTGTAATCTTGTACCGAACAGGGAGTTCAGGGAAGCGGAGCTCAGAGACTTGGTGTCAGCTGTTTGGAAACGTGATGACTAAGTGCTTGGGCAAAAATGTAAAGCAATGCTTTGCTGGGCAATGTATATTTGTTTGATCTGCATTAATTATTGGAACAAGGTTTGAGAGTGTAATACTATTTTAAGCCTTCATTACAACAGTGCTGCATTGCATATAAAGGAGGGAAGACCTATTTGCATCTCTTTACAAGCAGAATTGACATGCCATATCAAAGGGCTTGGAATGCAAATGGTCCTGAGGCCCACAGACAACACTGCTGTACAGGACAAGTCATCAGGGAAGAATACACGTCAGTATCACCGTTGTGAAAATGTTCCTGTAATTGTTATGTTTTTGCTTCAATTCCACTTTTTCAGGCTTTCCAAGGTCTCTTAGCTATCAGTGTTTGGAAAGAGACCAGAATAAGCAGTGCTTGCTTTCGGTGATGCAATAGGACTGCCATAAGAGAACAAGGTCATACCATTGCCGAAGGTACTGGGAGGAATGGAATGTGCATTCAGCTTTTAGAAGAGCTGAAGCTGAAAGAACAGCAGGAATGTACTTACTTTACAGGAAATAGGTGTTGAGGCAAACATGCAGGTTGCCAATGGGGACCGCTCCTTTGAAACATGCTATGCTTTTGCCTATTAGATAGAGGACTCCCAGAGTTTCAGGTTACACAATTCTCTCATATCAAAGGGAACTCCATCTATTTCTACTCATTCTGTATTGCTGTGTATTTATATTTGTGTATGTATCTTTATTATAGTGTTAATTATATAGTAACATTTCTTGCCATCATCCTTTTTTCATTTCCACGACTTCCTGCAACTCCAACCCTTTGTGAAGAGTCTTTTACATGTTGTAGGTTATACAATGCTCCCATAATAAAGAGAACGGCAACGAGAAAATGTTATTTGTCTGGCCGTCATGCTAATATAATGGTTCCAATCGTTTCTAACCGACTAACCAGTAATGACTATGCAGATTAGAAGTTCTGATTTCACCAGCTGCTAACTGCACAGCCGCTCTTGGGTCTTGTATGTATCTTACTGTTCTCAATACACAAAGCTGCCTCCCCATCTCTCTCCCATGACTGTATTATAACTGGTCACAACCAACAAGGTTAGCTGGAGCCATGCTCAGTGACTTATTAACAACAGGTACACGTTCTAAAAGTAAAGCTGTCCATTCTCAATCTCTGAAAATAGTCTCACCTCCCAGTTGTGGCGCACGGGTTTTTATAGAAATTAAGCTGCCCTTTACACGGTGTTTAACACCCTAAAATAGAAAAAAAGAAGAACAGTCAGCAATCAAAACAAAAACATGATGAGGCAACAATGAACCAACTGTATACCAATCACAAGAAAAAAATATTTTGGCCTAAACTAGGAAAAGACCATTACTTACCTGAGGAGCATTTCTGAAACCCTTGACAGCCTGGAAGATGCCTCCTCCAATAAGACCCATGGTGAAGGCTCCACCACAGTCATCTACGATCCTCCAGGGACTGTAGAAAAAACAATCATGGAAACAGTCACAAAAGGAAGCAGCAACCACTATAGGTCACAGTAAAGGTGTTCGGGTTGATGGAAGAAACCACCGACACTAGCGATGGACACAGGTGATCCGCACTCCTGGTAGTGTTAGATTTTGCAGAGACATAAGGGGAGCGATTTCTCGGTATCAGAGCAGTGTTCGCTGGCACAGGAAAAGTCCTACACCACTCCCCCCAGCCTGTCTCTTCCTTCACTCCAGAGATAGAATGTCTCTTGGTATCCTCACGTTCTATACACTGTATAGGATGTGATGACTCACAGGATCTTAGAATGCCAGAGTGGAGGGAGAGCGGCTGAAGAGAGCAGTCTAGCAGCCAGCCGGGATTGGTTCGGGTGAGAGTAACTGTTCTTTTAGCTCTCTAGATGAAACGAACACTTAACCCTTGCAGTGCGGGTGTAACCCCATTGTAAGGGTTAAGATTTGATTTGGCGGGAGTTCTGCTCTAACCTGGTGTAAACAAAGCACAGACCTCCTTACTCATGGAACTCCCCTCTGAGCACAGAAGACATTAGAAGCTCAGTTACCAGGAACGAGGGAAAGTAAGAACAAGTGAGATCTAGGTCATGTACTAAATAATATCGGAGCAGGTGAGTGCTTACTTTGACAATCCTTTTCTGTTGGCAAGTGCTAATGTGACATGATCCCAAGAAAGCACTCTGCAGTGGAGGATCCCCAGCCAGGAAGATGTTAAGACTAGCTTCACAAAGGGGGCGGGGGGTTATCAAAACAGGAGCAGACAGAATCTCCCCAACGTGTCTTAAATAATACCTTATCAAAAGACCATTTAATAAAAGTGTATATAAAGCCAAAGAAACTTTTCTTATTTTCTCCCTTTTGTTCTGTTAGGGATTGCATCAACAGGCTTTTGTTCACACAGGTCTAAGGAAATGCAAAACGTGGTTGACGCAAGTCAAATGCAGGTCAGATAGAGGTCAACTGCAGGTCAATTGCACCAGTCAATGAAATCTGAATGACCTCAGAAGCGTCTTAAACTGATACTATCATAACAAACCCAAAGCCTATCCACAGAGGTCCTAAAGCTGGCAACGCACTATACAATCTGATCCTACAATCTCCTTTAGATCTACCAACAACTATATAACATAAGGGTCTCCCTGACTGGGTGGGTAGAAACTGGATTGTTTAGGTTTGTCATAGAATATATATATATATATCCATCCTCATAGTTCTGGTACATTTAAAGGAGATTGCACAATCAGATTTTAGTGTATATGGCTACCCTTAGCCAGATCAGATCTGGCTGGCACAGACCCCAGAGATGTAGCTGCAGGTCCAACCACCCCATGGCATTGATCACCAGCTTAGATCTGCCACTGAACTGTAAGTATAGCAAATTTAGCAATGGGCTTAGTACTAACCATACTGCAAAAATCACCAAATATTTTCAACACGGCTATTCATTTCCAATGGACACGTCAAGTGCCAAATAGAGGCCATTCAGAAAAAGTCAATCATGTCAGAGAAGGAAATCAGACCAATGCAAGCCTCTGGTAATGTCCCTGAAGGAGAAACCTGTCCCAGGTACAAGAAAACCGGTACAGATACAGACACTACATGTGTCCGAGGGAGGTCAGTATGTAAAGCAGAGCAGGCCCGGCCTCTGGCCTGATACATGCCAGTCAGCAGCGCCCAGTTCGCTGCACACCCGCAGAGGAAAATCAGGCCTCTCTTACCATGGCTCTCTGGTGTACTCCTCCATGATGCCACCGAAGGTCGAAAAGAAGAAATGCAGGAAGAGAGCGGTACATGTGACAACTTACAATCCTTTCCTATTGGACGTTCAGATTGATGACATAACTATACCATAGAGACGTAGGTTACTGTCACAGCTGCGCCCTTCATACTATGTCGCCGCGTAGTGTGTGCGCGGCCATGTTCTTGGTTTGCATATCGCTTTCTGTCAGCCTACATGACTCAAAAGATGTTTAAGTTGTGTAACACCCTAGGTCATTCTAGCGCATTGCTGTTGAACTCCAGACTCCATTAGAACAGTGCAAAGAAAATTTACTGGAATTCATAAATGTTATCATAGCTGCTCATTAGAAATCTGTCTCCTGTCTGTGTGACAAATGGGGCAACTTGAGACACATTCATGTAACAGTAAGGTCTATATGAATCTGTTGCAGAATTGCCTCAGACAGCATTTTGTCTGTGACACAATACTTACATATGCGACACAATGCACGTCAACATGGAAGAGGACTTATTGACCTCTACTTTTCAATATGGCGGTATTTCTTAACCACTTGTCTACCAGCACCATTTTTGAATGGCAGCTAGTAGTAAGGATTTTTTAGAAAAACTATAGTAACCAGGAGTTTGCGTACTTTTCACAGGCCGGCGGTTTACCCCAGCCAGGGGTATGGAAGTGATCAGGGTAGTGAAGCTGCCCTGATCACTTCCATACCCCTGAAGGTGTCACCAAGCCTTTCCTCCATCTGCGTGCGCCCCCGCCATGTATCCCTGGCTCCACTGCCTCTCCCATGTACCCAGTATGGCCGTGGCAGGTGGAACGGAAGGAGGTCATCATACATCTATTTACTTATCCCCCCTGTGGGTATTAATATTATTATTACATAGTATTTATATAGCGCCAACAGTTTGCGCAGCGCTTTACAATATAAGGAAGACATTACAATCACAATACAATTCAAGACAAGATGGTAAGGAAGGCCCTGCCCCTGAGGGCTTACAATCTAAAAGAGAAGGGGGGGATGATACATGAGGAATGAACCTGAAAGCGACAAGGATTTTGTCACTTCCGTGTACAGAGCTGTCATTTACTGGCAACATTTTATTCTACTCTATTTTCAGAAAACATATAATTCTGGGGGGATTACCATTAAAATAAGCTCTAGTAGTCAAGTGATCAATGAATTTGTCTCAGCCGTAGTGACAGAATGTAAAAGTGTTCAGACATAAGAACTCCCTGAGTTTGTCATATGTGTTGCAAATAGCAAGAAATCGTTTGCATGGCTTTCATGAATTTGGCGCAGGCATTTCTAATATAGCTATAAAAGCAGAAAAGTGTCACAAATGCTTTCTTTGAATCCCCAGTGTGTTTTCACTGTTCCGTGTGCATGCAGCGCGCATGGTTATGCAAACATATAGTTGTGAATGGGTCCATATGGTTTTCCTTTCACAGTAAACTGCATTGCATAGATGTGAAACAGCCTCAAGGGAAAGACTGGGATTTGTATGGGGTGGAAATGGGATACTTGTTATGCAACTTCATGCAGCAAAATGCAGGAGTTTGGCTGCATGAAATTGGACTAGTGTGAATTGGCCCTTAGTCTGTATTTTCTCACTTTTTTTTCACCTTTTGATCCGGCCAGTAACATACTTCTGTCTTAGGGTGGCTACATTCACCCCCCTACTGCATACATGGAGGAGCAACATAGCCCCTCTTGGACAGTAGTGATATTAACCTGTGGAGAGGGGGGTGTTGGGTGGACTAGTAGATTTAGATGGATCTTACATAAGTGACTAATAAATGAATGCCTAATTTCAGCTAACACTTTTAAAAAGTTACAGAAACATTTTTTTTGCTTTTGGAATGATGGTTTTTGTGATAGTTCGACTGAGAATTACAGTGTCAATGACAGCGTGAGCCGCGGCTTGTGTGTGTGTGTGCTGGCTGCATACAGACGAGCACCGGAGGATGTACCGGTACGTCCTCCTGGAACAAAAGGGTTGTAGACCAGCCATATATGAAAAGTGGCCAGTCCGCAATTAGCTAAGCATAGAGATTAGAATAAAGAGATAAGTGGATTCCCATGTTACCACTTTAAATATATTGAGATTAGTGGATTCACCCAACCATGTCACCTCACCCTAAAAACCAGGGAGTCACTATGCTTTTTACCCCTGTCAGTCTGAATGAAGTACAAAGCTCCCTCGAGTACTCTCATTTAGCAGATACCTGACCCAGCCTTCTTTCCTACATAGTTGACAGTTAATCTGTATTTTGTAAGACAGTCCTGTTATATTCATATGCAGGTGCGTAACTAGAAATAACAGGGCCCCATAGCAAAATTTTGTATGGGGCACTGTGATTTCTAGTTACGCCCCTTGCAGAGCCCACCTGAGATCCCAAACAGCCCACCTGAGAGTAACCCTGCAGAGACCACCATAGACACTCTATGGTGTGCTCTGCAGGGTCTCAAGTGGGCTGGTCACACCCCTGCACACCTCTTATCCGACAGCCCTGATCTGCTGTCCGCCTCCTCCTCCTCCACGGTCACTGGCGAGCCCCCGCCTCCTCCTCTGTCGCCGGGCCCTGCCTTCTCCTCCGTCGCCAGGCCCCACCTCCTCCTCCACTGCCGACGCCAGGCCCCACCTCCTCCTAGCTGCCGACGTCGGGCTCATCCTCCTCCTCCTCCGATGCTGGCTGTCAATGACTCAGCAGCGGCTGTGAGGAGGAACGCGCCGTTGCACAGATCACTGACAGGTTGTCAGTGATCTGAACAACGGCGTGTTCCTCCTCACAGCCGCCAGTGACAGCCAGCAGCCTGAGATGCCATAGCGATCCAGGCAGCCCGCACGGCATTAGGGGGACCCCTTTGTTCCTCGTCCTTGCCGGGCCCCCCTGTGCCCCAGGGCCCCTTAACGGCCACCTTGGTCGCTATGGCGATTGTTCCGCCACTGTTCATATGTGTAAAGTACAGTAATGCCTCATTCACATGAGGCTTTTATGTCAGGCTGCAGATTCCTGCGGCAAAATCTGATCGCCCCTGGACACAAGACGCTTGTTCCCAGGGGCGACCATCTGTCTCTGACTGCAGGTAATGGCTCCATATGCAATTACATCCAAAAAGAGGCAGACACAGAGTGGCCGCAGCTGTCCTGTTGATTCCTATTGCAAAAATCAGCAAAATCTTACAGCAGGAATCCACAGCCAGACATAAAAGCCTTGTGTGAATGAGGCCTAAATGTTTATTTTACAATTTTGTTTAATGTTTAACTTGCATAGTTCTTTTGTTAAGCACACAGGTATAAATTCTCCTGTTTTTGTTGTGTGCATATACATGTGACATAGTACTGCTTTTTAAGCCATGTCACTGACATAATTTAGCCACCCATGGTTTTTGCCGCAGTGCATAACACTTTTTTTTTATCACCTTGTAAACGCTTCTTCCAGGTTGACATCTCTGTTCACCACTAGAGTGGACGGAAAACCTAGTTTAAGTGTCCAAAAAAACCTGCGCTATCTGTTCCCTATGTGTATATCTACTCCTACCGCCGACTAATCAGCAGAGGAAAGTGACAACTAAAATGACGTTAGATTTTATATAACACACAATCAATATATCGGTGAAATAAAATCAGTAAGATGTATCAAAAAGACAAATTCCATAAATTCAATAGTGAAATAACATAAAAACCTAGATTATAAAGCAAAACTCCAGATAAAAATAATAATATAAATAGCTCATTAAAGAAAAAAAGCAGAATAGTCGTTTTCTTAACCTTCCTGTGCTACTCATACTCTCATACTGACGTCAAACTGATGTCATTGACACAAGCCAATAGAGCGTTGGCACAGGCCCTTACATTGCCTGACAAAAATAGAGTTTATGCAAAAAAAAAAAAACTGGAGCAGACAAAATCTGTAGCAATTGCACATAGTAACCAATCAGCTCTTCTCTACAGTGTGTTCAGTTAGGCTTTCAAATGGAAAAAAAAGATGCTGATTCATTGCCATGAATTGGTTGCCAACTGCTCCAGATCCTGCCTGCTCCAGTTTTGATCAATTCTCCTCTCTGTACTTCCTGGGAAAGCTGGGGCTTGAAATCCCTGAAGAATGTAGAGTATTCTTGTGGGATTTTGCACATTCAGTTCTCCTGGGACTTCACTCATGCTTTCTGTGAACATAAGAAGCAGGGCTGAGACAGGGGCGTCCCCAGGCACGGTGTGATCCGGAGCGGCTGCCAGGTGTTACCCCGCTGGGACGTCATCGCTCAAGCACAACATCATCATGCAAATTCGTAATGACGTCATGCATACTTACCTGCTGGTGGCCCTCTTGGTTATGGATGCCAGCAAAGAGAGGAGGGGACATTCATCCCGTGGGATAAGGTATGCCCCCGGGTCTCCTCCTCTCTCATGCAACTGCAGGGCTCTTGGTCCATGACCGAATGTCCGACTTTTTAGAGGGGGTGACACCAAAATGACTATCAGTCCTTTTAGTATCACCCCCTCTGCTGGTGTCACCAGGTGTAGGCCACACACCCCTTGTGACACCACTGGGTTAAGATAAGTATTTTTGACTTTTTTAGGTAATTTGTAAGTGAAGGTAGAGGGGTGTAAGTAAAACAGACCTTTCTTTTCGATGGAAGGTTGGCTTTAAGTGTCCCTATTACATTTAGGCCTCATTCACACGGAGGCTACCTAGGGATTCTTATGTCAAGAATCCCAGGTGTCCTTGTTCATATGCAGCCACTGTGCCCATTCAAAGTTAAAAACAGGGTGACAGCGGGCGCATCTGTCAATGGCAGTCCACATGTATGCGTACATGGTACCATTACCTGTGGTACGGGATAGATGATTGTGGCTGGATGCATCTATTGTGCAATGTACGATTACATGCGGGCAGCCACCTGCACACCTAGGATTCCTGCTGTAAGAGTCAGTATGTTAAATGGATTGTTCAGAGTCTTTACAAGTCTGCATAAATAAATTCCTGACATGTCACAATATACTGCAACAGTAAAATGCTCTTAAAATGTTCTATCTTTTAACATTAAACTGAACTGATACAACAAAAATACAATGTAATGCAGTTGTGAATAATTCAATGAATTGTTCATATAGTTAGGATAAGTACCTGAATTTGCCTTAATACTGGCCTTCTCTCATCCCCTGAACTCAGATGGGAAGAGGGAAGGGCATCACTAGGAGCCAGTCAGGCTCTGCTGCATGCACAGGGTTTATTCCTGTCATGGCAAAGCTTGTAAGGCTTGTTCTAGTGGACAAGGCATTTGATGAATTGGGACTGTTGTGCGCTGTAGTTGGGAGCTGCATGTGCTCACAAAGAGCGAACATACCTTGCAGAAAAGTGACATTAAATGTTTACTTTTTTTTACTTTTGACACTCCACAGAAACAATATAAAAAAACAGTGTGCGGTTTCCCCCAGCAATGCATACCAGACCCTTCAGGTCTGGTAGGAATGTTAGGGGGACCCAACACCCCTAAAATCCCTTACCAGACCTTTGATCCGAGCAGCAGCCTGGCAGCGCAGGAAAGAGCGGGACGAGTGAGAGGGGGGAAAAAGCACCTTGTTCCCATGCCAATGAGGGCAAGGGCCTCTTCCCCAAAAATCATGGCCTGGTGGTTGTGGGAGGTCTGTGGGCAGGGCAGCTCATCTGCATTGGCTATTTTAATTTGCAATAGCCAAAACAGGCTGGCTATTGCTCTGCCCACTGCCTTCTATCAATCAGCAGAGGAGCGGACCTGAGAGAGAAGCCAGTGAGCGGCAGCCATTCTTCTTTTGGCTATTTTAAATTGCAATAGCCAATAGTAGGCTGGTCATTGCTCCGCCCACTGCCTGATGTCAATCGGCAGAGGAGTGGACCTGAGAGAGAAAGTTTGTTTATTTCTGCCCACTGCACAATGTAAACGGCAGTAGGTGTTTTTTTTTTTGTGTTGGTGGGTCAGCGTGCGTCGGAATTCCAAGATTGGGACAATTTACATCGATGGACAGCGTGATTGACACTGGATTAACATCGTGGGACATTTAAAAAAAAAAGAAATAAAGGAATTGTCAAAAACTTGTGTTTTTTTTTTTTCAAATAAAGGACTTTTTCTTAGGTGTTGTGTGTATATTTACTATTTTTCACTGTTTAGGGGAATGACTATGGGTACAAGTACCGTTTACTTATGCAGGAGGGAGGGCAGCATCTGGGATTCCTATAGGCCCCCCTGCCCGCAGACCCCCACAACCACTGGGCCAGGGTTGAGTGGAAGGGGCCCTTGTCCTCATCGCCCTCTTCTTCTCACCGCCGAGGGCATGTGGCCTGGTATGGTGCAGGGAAGGGGGGCGCTCGCTCGCCCCCCCCTTTCCTGCCCTACCAGGCTGCTGCTTGGATTAAGGGTCTGGATTAGGGTCTGGGATTTTAGGGGGGACCCCACCCTTTTTGGGGGGGGGATTTTTGGCATTGGAGTCCCCCTAAAATTCACACTAGTCCTAATGGGCCTGGTATGAATTACCGGGGGAACCACACACTGTTTTTGTTTTGTTTTTTGGACATCAGGGGTCCCCCAGAACATCCCTAGCAGACCTAAAGGGACTGGTATGAATTGTAGGAGGGAAACCGTGCGCTCTTTTTTTTTTTATTAACGTTTATGTGGACTGTGAACATTTACTGTATTCTGTGACTGCTGTCAGCTTCTTTTTTTACATTTGGGATGCGAGTCCCGAATGTCAGCAAAGAAGCAGAGAGTTGTTACACATGACACATACACAGAGCTCTCAGATTCTTTCCTTGTTTACATTCTGTAACAACTCTCTGATACTTTGTTGACATTCGGAATGTGAGTCCCGAATGTCAGCAAAGAGGCAGAGACGCCGGAGAGCTGTTACAGAATGACACACACCTCTCCCGCTTCTTTGTTCAGTTCCAAATAACATTTGGGAAACATTTCCAATGTATTTGAATTTTGGTATCAACCATGCAGATACATTTAGATTCATTATTTCTGTCATTCGGAAATTCATACGAATATCAATTCGGAATAAAACAAAACGCACATGTCTACCCTCCAGGCTGCTAGACTGGTCCCCACAGCCTCTTCTCCCCTGGGCTCTGGTATTCTAAGGACAACTGATGTCATCACATCTTATGTAGGTCCATTGACTTGCATTAGACGTAAGGATGGCAAGGAACATTCCAAAGCCGTAGTCCAGGGGGAGATCAGTGAGCACCAACCACTGTGGGAGCCAGGATCTAACAGCTTTGTTTGAGCCCCCTAGACTAAATGAGCACTTAACCCTTGCAGTGCGGGGGTAAGTTTTTGATCTTTCCTGGAGTTCTTCTTTCAATAGAAATGCAAATGTTAACTATTGTTATTTGTCTACACATTTCTGGAAGGAACAAGCCTTAATGAAGGAGGATACAGTGAAACCCCAAAATCATTGACTGTTTTATTCTGTTGATCTTTATATATAAATACTACCTTGTACTCTATTAGTAGTGGTGGCTCCGCCATCTGTTCTCTGTCCTTGAGTGACAAGACCTACTGCACTGTATCTATGGAAAAGCAGCATTGTCACCATAGGACAGGACTAAACAACTCCCCCTTTCTTCTTCTACAATACCATAAGGGTTAGGTGTTCCGTAGTCCACAGAGGTGAATTGGGTAGGGCTGACAGCGCTGCTTAAGCTGGCCATACATAATGCAAATTTTGGCCACATTCTGTAACATCTCTCTGATACTTTGTTGACATTCGGAATTTGAGTCCTGAATGTCAGCAAAGAGGCAGAGATTGCCGGAGAGCTGTTACAGAATGACACACACCTCTCCCGTTTCTTTGTTCTTTTCCGAATAACATTCAGGAAACATTTCCAATGTATTCGAATTTCGGTATCAAACATTCAGATATTCAGATTCATTATTTCTGTCATTCGGAAATTCGTACGAATGTCAATTCGGAATGAAACAAAACGCACATGTCTACCCTCCAGGCTGCTAGACAGCCTCTTCTCCCCTGGGCTCTGGTATTCTAAGGACCACTGGTGTCATCACATCTTATGTAGGTCCATTGACTTGCATTAGACGTAAGGATGGCAAGGAACATTCCACAGCCGGAGTCGAGGGGGAGATCAGTGAGCACCACCCACTACGGGAGCCAGGATCTAACAGCTTTGTTTGAGTCCCCTAGTCTAAATGAGCACTTAACCCTTGCAGTGCGGGGGTACGTTTTTGATCTTTCCTGGAGATCTTCTTTAAACAGAAATTTAAATGCTAACTATTGTTATTTATTACCTCCTCTGAGTCCACACATTTCTGCAAGGAACAAGCCTTAAATGAAGGGGGATACAGTGAAACCACAAAACGCATTGGCTGTTTTATTCTGTTGATCTTTATATATAAATACTACCTTGGACTCTATTAGTAGTGGTAGCTCCCCCATCTGTTCTCCAACTGACAGTGTTTGTGTCACACTCATTCACCCTCACAGATCTACAAGAATTAACATGCAATATTATTGATAATAGCATTTGCTCACAGGGGTGTCACAGAGCGCTCGTATGATGCCTGTACATTAGAACATTCTCAAGCTCCACGAGCTTTAAACCAGCCTTTCTCAACCAGGGTTCCTCCTCAGGTTTCTTTAAACAATAAGCTATTTATGCCTATTAGGTAAGTAACCACTGAAAACAATGATCTTTTCAGCTACCTGTAAGGGTGGGGATCCTTCCCAACAACCACAAATGTAAGGAGCATTCTTCCCAGTTACCTTAACACTAATGTACCATGAGCAGTACATAGTAATTATTGGCAGGGGTTTCCTGAGACTGGAAATTCATTTCAAGGGTTTCTCCATGTTAACAAGGTTGAGAAAGGGTGCTTTAGACTAACTTGCTGATTTTTCTGAACATGGGTACTATTAAAATGGCTTTTCTTTTGCTGTCATCTGAACATTCCTAGGATGTGTAGTAATAGCTGCTAGAGCCACAGATAGTTCCAGGGCTAAGCAATGTGTAAACAGTGAGTTTTTTCTTTACCAAATAAGGATTTGTCAAATATTCTGCATCTTCTACAAATGTTATATTAGACTAATGAAAAGACACACAACTGTCACATGTACTAAATCTCACAGTATATAGTCTAAGTAAAGATGTTGCTTACTTTGTAAATTAGAGAGAAAAGAGACAGAACTAAGAAGAGGGTGGTACAGGTGGAAGGAAAGTATGAGGCAGTCCATGTATATGTGAAGATGTTAAAGCTGAAGATTGCCCATACATCAGCTTTGTCCAATGATCACAGTTAACCTTTCATTTGTATACAAAGATCCCTTGCTACATCACATGTTGCAGTTTTTTTTCTGACTCCCAGCCCTCTGTGATTTCCATAAAAAGCGATGTATCCTCTCTCTAAATTTGGGCATGAGTGGAACATTCGCAAGAATGTCTTGACTCTGAGCCCTTGGGAGTGGTGGGGGGGAGTGAGAAGAGAAGACATTACATGATGATTGGAACAACACAATCATCTCCTTGTTGATGCTGGGGCACACACCTGCGGGGGGCTCCCCATTTCCAGCACATAGTAGGATCTTCCACCTTGGAGGAGGGTTTCCATAGCTTCATCTAATTGTCTTGTTCTACATTTCTTCTCCCTCGTTCTTACACGTTTCTTTGGGGAAGCTCCTGGCCATTTTCTTTTACAGAGCCTTGAGTTCTCAGCGAGTTCTCCATCCTCTGTTCTGGCATACTCCAGGTCTGTGCACCCTCTTCATTCTCTACTAGTCTTCACATAGCCAGGCATCATGTCCAGGGTGGCCAAGTACCGGCGCCAGGTGAGCGAGGACCCGGACATTGACAACTTGCTGTCCACTTTGTCCCCGGAGGAGATGGAGCAGCTGGAGCAGGAGTTGGATGCCGGGGACCCGGACGCTGGCTTGTCTGCGGGGCTGCGCAGGGACCAGACCGAGAGAGCATCCAGCCAGAGGGAGGCAGAGAAGGAGAGGCAGGCACAGACAGCCAAGGTAAGAGCTCAGCTACTGATCTTTGGAAACATCCACACAACATTCTTGGAGGAGGGTTACCTGGTCTTCCCTTCCAGGGAGAGCTGAAGATGGCAAATTCCTCCACTCCAGCAAATACTCCAAATATTTATCATTATGATTCCACGTATTTATCATTCTGAATATTCTAATTAAAATATATATGATTCTGATTATTCTGATTCCAAATATTTATCATTCTAATCCCACATATTTATGATGCTGAATATTCTAAATAAAATATTTATGATTCTGAATATCCTAATTAAGATATTTATGATTCTGAATATTCTAATTAAAATATTTATAATTCTGATTATTTAGATTCCAAATATTTATTATGCTGAATATTATGATTCCAAATATATATGACTAAGAATATTTTGATTCCTAATATTTTGTATTCTGATTATTCCGATTCCAAATATTTATAATACTGAATACTCTACTTTCAAATATTTACGATTCTGACTATTCTAAGTACTTATGATTCTGATTATTCATTACTATTCACCTAAAGTAGTATTAAACTTCCAAACTTTTTTTCATTAGGGAATCCTGGTCTAACACATATCATCTCCAGCAAAATTTTTCTTTACATTTTTGCCCAAACACTTACAGTCATTATTACAGCTCCAACTCTCTTAGCACAGCTTTTCTGAACTTTTTTTCCTTTATTTAAACTGGGAACCTGCCAGTAACACTTTCTGTCCTAGAGTGACAAGACCTACTGCACTGTATCTATGGAAAAGCAGCATTGTCACCATAGGACAGGACTAAACAACTCCCCCTTTCTTCTTCTACAATACCATAAGGGTTAGGTGTTCCGTAGTCCACAGAGGTGAATTGGGTAGGGCTGACAGCGCTGCTTAAGCTGGCCATACATAATGCAAATTTTGGCCACATTCTGTAACATCTCTCTGATACTTTGTTGACATTCGGAATTTGAGTCCTGAATGTCAGCAAAGAGGCAGAGATTGCCGGAGAGCTGTTACAGAATGACACACACCTCTCCCGTTTCTTTGTTCTTTTCCGAATAACATTCAGGAAACATTTCCAATGTATTCGAATTTCGGTATCAAACATTCAGATATTCAGATTCATTATTTCTGTCATTCGGAAATTCGTACGAATGTCAATTCGGAATGAAACAAAACGCACATGTCTACCCTCCAGGCTGCTAGACAGCCTCTTCTCCCCTGGGCTCTGGTATTCTAAGGACCACTGGTGTCATCACATCTTATGTAGGTCCATTGACTTGCATTAGACGTAAGGATGGCAAGGAACATTCCACAGCCGGAGTCGAGGGGGAGATCAGTGAGCACCACCCACTACGGGAGCCAGGATCTAACAGCTTTGTTTGAGTCCCCTAGTCTAAATGAGCACTTAACCCTTGCAGTGCGGGGGTACGTTTTTGATCTTTCCTGGAGATCTTCTTTAAACAGAAATTTAAATGCTAACTATTGTTATTTATTACCTCCTCTGAGTCCACACATTTCTGCAAGGAACAAGCCTTAAATGAAGGGGGATACAGTGAAACCACAAAACGCATTGGCTGTTTTATTCTGTTGATCTTTATATATAAATACTACCTTGGACTCTATTAGTAGTGGTAGCTCCCCCATCTGTTCTCCAACTGACAGTGTTTGTGTCACACTCATTCACCCTCACAGATCTACAAGAATTAACATGCAATATTATTAATAATAGCATTTGCTCACAGAGGTGTCACAGAGCGCTCGTATGATGCCTGTACATTAGAACATTCTCAAGGTCTCCGGGAACCTTTAAACCAGCCTTTCTCAACTAGGGTTCCTCCTCAGGTTTCTTTAAACAATAAGCTATTTATGCCTATTGCAAACAATGATCTTTTCAGCTACCTGTAAGTGTGGAGACCCTTCCCAACAACCACAAATGTAAGGAGCTAAAGAACACCTCCCCTTTCTTCTTCTACAATACCATAAGGGTTAGGTGTTCTGCAGTCCACAGAGGTGAATTGGGTAGAACTGACAGCGCTGCTTAAGCTGGCCATACATAATGCAAATTTTGGCCAGTTCTTCAGGAATCGGACTGAATCTGCACAGTGGGTGCCGCTGTCGGCACCCTTTCGATCGGCATCCTTCAATCAGTTGATCAAATGCCGGTCTGAAAATCTTCGAATGAAGAGAGCCAGCAGCCCTCGAGCTGCCACCTCTGTTCGTGTATTCTGACAGCAGTCAGTAGCCACTGTCAAAATACAAAAGAAACAGCAGGGATTCCTCGATCAACGCTCGTAAGTATTGATGGAATCTATTCTATTTTTTTCTTTCAGCCTACAGGTTGAACGAAAAAATAGAACAGTGTATGGCCAGCTTTAAAGTAGTATTAAACTCTTAATCTTTTTTTCAATAATGAATCCAGATGAAACAAATATACATTGTCCAGCAAAATATTTCTTTGAAGTTTTGCCCAAGCACCTACAGTCATCGTGTTTCCAAACAGTTGACTCCAACTCTCTCAGCTCCGCTTCCCTGAACTTCCTGTCCAGTACAAAATCACATGGGCGAGTGCAGTTTCCAACAGCTGTCGACCTACTGACATGTATGTCAGTATAAACCTGACTGAGGTTCTAGCCCTTTCCCAATCTATCCAAAACTAGGACACAAAGTCTTGACTTTAGATACACTCTAATGACAGTGGCTAAACAGTAAAAAAAAAAAGTTAATCAACTATAATTCCATACAAAAATCTTCACCATTAATTAATATTCTTGTAACATGAGGCCATTAAGTATTTAATACTGTTCTTAAGCAGCGAGTACACTGAAAAAACTGGTCAATGATAATATCTGGCTAAGTTGAACCTGGTTGGAATTATCGGTTGTTTAACCTAAAAGAAAAATAATAGCTTGCCTGTTTAGTAGGGGTTTTCAATGCTGATTTGTTTGGCAAGGTTAATCAAAGACTGAAGGGTAGGACTGCAAGGCTGCACTTAAGCCCCTCAGTGTGGGGGTAGCCCCTCTGCACGGGTTCAGTTGTTATTTTTCCAGACTTCTTAAATCATTCTTAAAGTTTTTTGGGTGGAGGCTTTTGGAAATGCTACATTTTAAACAAAGTGATCCAAAGACGTATATATGCACATAATATGTTAGTTAAATTTTTCAGTACAGTAAAATATACTTAATGGCCTTAAATCTGTAACTGGTAGACATGTAGGAAATATTTTAAAAAAAACGTAACAAATGGAAACTGTCTTTGTCCTTGATAAACTGTCTTTGCTTAGAAAATTTGTGTATATATGTATGCATAGCTACAACCATGCACCAGAGTGAGGTAAACACACATCAACGCATATTTCTATATTGCAGGACTTCTACTGAATATTTTCTGTGCACTAAAAACATTCCAAATTAAATTTTTTCAGAGTGAAAAATCTTCACAGAAGACACAAGAAGAGAAAAAGAAGGAAGAAAGGGGAAAAGAGCCTGGGACTGGAAAAGAGCCTAGGACTGGAAAAGAGCTTGGGTCCGGAAAAGAGCCTGGGTCCGGAAAAGAGCCTGGGTCCGGAAAAGAGCCTAGGACTGGAAAAGAGCCAGGCCCAACCAAAACACCAGAAGACCAGACTAAGGGAAAAAAAGACACAGACAAACCAAAAGATGATCGTGTTAGCAAAATGAGGGAGAGATTTAGACAAGAAAAAAATATTAGTGCAGTGGAGAAGGAAAAGCAGGAGAAGACTCCATCTAAAAAGCAGGAAGAAGAAAAGGGTGCAAAGCAAACAGTAAAGGATAAAGCAGTAAAGGAAAGCACCGAAGAGAAAGCAGAAAAAGTTGTTGGTAAGACTGAAAAGAAGGAAATGGCAAAGCTTCAGTCTGAAAATAAAGTGGACAAAAAAACAGTTCCCGACAAGACTCAGGAGAAACAAGATAAAGCAGAAAGAGTCCAAGCTAATAAAAATATCTCAGAGGAGAAACTACTAGCTGATCAAGACAAGAAGAATGCAAAGGATTCAAGCCAGCAGAAGACTGAAAATGGTGCTAAGAACACAACAGAAGAGAATAAGGATGATGATGCATCAAAACTCTTTGATGAACTTCTAGAGAAAGTGAAAAATAATGAAGCAGAATTGACGGAGCTCAACCTTAACAATTCAGAATGCATTACCATAGACACCCTAATGAGTTTTACAGAGGCCTTAGAGTTTAACACTGTAGTGAAGATATTTTCTTTAGCTAACACACGTGCTGATGACCACATTGCTTTGGCCATTGCTGTTTTGCTCAAATCCAACAAAACCATCATTAGTATCAATCTGGACTCCAACCACATTACTGGCAAAGGTATACTGGCCATTTTCAGAGCTTTGCAGCACAATGATACACTGACAGAACTACGCTTCCATAATCAACGTCACATATGTGGAGGGAAATCTGAGATGGAGATAGCAAAGATGCTGAAGGAGAACACTACTCTGTTAAAACTCGGGTACCATTTTGAGCTGGCTGGTCCCCGCATGACTGTCACCAATTTGCTTAGTCGTAACATGGACAAGCAAAGGCAGCGTAGAATGGCAGAACAGAAAGCATTAAAGGAGGCTGAGAGCAAAAAGAACTGTTTGGAAGTACCCAAGGTCATTCCCCCTCCAAAAGAACCCTCAAAACCAGCAAAACAAGTTCCAAACAAGGTTAAAAAGGATACTTCCAAAAAGGATGGAGTACCTGTTCCACCTCCTCCACCTCCACCAATGGCACCCCTGGCACCACCTCTTGAGAACATTAGGAATTCTTTGTCCCCTGCATCTCGGAGAAGGATAGAGGAGAAGCCAGGGCCTGCAGAGACGAACACGAGAGACAAACTGCTGGAATCAATTAGGTCAAGTAGTAAGAAACAGCTAAAAAAGGTAAGAGGCATAACACAATAATATAATTCAGAGATTGCTACAGATTTTTGCAAGGCATAGGCAGAATTAATGTTTGTACAGTAGCAGTATGGTTAATGTGCACATTCGATGCCAGTGATTTTATTAGAGTTAAGAATCTACAGTATATAGCTGCTATGAAAGGCCTGATGGACTTGTTTGGTGTTGTGTTATGATGTGTTGTGCATCAGCCCCCGTCTTTGAAGAATGTACCAGGAAACTCAAAACATACTACCGGTATAATCATAGATTTTAGGGATACATTCCTTTAATAGAACCCACATAGCAACTGATATTAGCGGAGCTTCTACTTACACGGCACACAGCTCTGCAATGTTTTCCACACTCATTTGTTTTGTTTCACCATAGGAAAACTGGAGCTGTCACTTGAGCATATGGTAGTTGGTAAAGGTATTACTAATATGTGCATTCTTCACAGATCTATTACCAGGTATTGACTGAAAGTGTGTCTGAGTTCTATAAGACACCCATCATCACTTGATGTCATTACAGACATTGCAAGATTGGTTATTGTAGCTTTTCTCACTCATCATATATAGTCTTATAAACTCATTAGTCATATTGGTAGAATCAAACTATTGCAAGCTGTTCTATTTGTTTTAAATTATTATATTAATTATTATATTTCAGCGCTGTTTACATAATTATCACCCATTTTTACATCCATCATTGTGCATGAGTTTAAAAGTTGATATGACTTTTTGTTCCATTATGAATTGACTTTTGACTTTGGGAATGGCAGGTCTCTGCATAACCTTATGACATTACTTTGTTGGTGTCCCAACAGTGTCTTCAAGGGAAAGAGTAATAGCCTTTTTTGTGAATTGTATTTTTTTTTCATTTCAGATTTAGGGCTTATATAGATGGGAGTTTTTGTCAAATGCTACTTTTGCATTTGAATACAGCACTGCTTAAAGGCATGTGTTTGAACATAAAAAGGCTGCATTTGCCTTGCTTTTCCTGAAATGCAAGCACATCTCAATAGGGCTTTATTTAGGCTGTAACAGTTTAACAGGCTGTATCCAAAGAAAAACAAAAAAATGAAGGTCAAATGCAGCAAGAGGACACTACACTGTATACAAATTTTAAAAAATTTAAAAATAAAGTAGAACTTTAGGCAAAAATTATATATACAGTACATATTTTGTTCACATAGACACAGTAAAATACATTTTGTTTCTTGTGAGTTTCTTTAAAACCCCTGTGCAAACCCACAAAATACATGGTGATCCTGCAGGTCTAGTCTGTAAGATGTCACTTCACCTGCATCCTGGGAAATTATGCCACCATTAAGTTAATTGTGTTACATTGAACTACAGTAGGACGTGGAGATGCAGCGACATGGGAGTTGCTAACACCTTGTCTCCTCGCTAGACAAGCTATTAGCTTTTCTATCAAGCAGTTGGCCGTGCCTACTCTACTGCCTCTTGCCCAGGCCTTTCCTAATTTATAAATGCCCATTGCCCTGCCTTAGCCACGCCCCTATCCTCACACATATGAAAACAGGCTATGTTAGAGAAAGGCATGCTGGCACTAGGCAGTGGCTGACATTAATAACAGGATCGTTGCGCCCATTGATTGACTTATAGTGGCATGTAATTGCTCTTTTTAGGATCAAAAAGGGAGCAAAAAGAAATTGTTTAAAAAATATAGATATTCAAACCAGCTTGGTAAAAGATTTTAGTTTTTTTATTTATTTCAGGTATTTGTATAGTGCCGACAATTTACGCAGCACTTTACATAGTTGCACATTCACATCAGTCCCTGCACTCAAGGAGCTTACAATCTAAGGTCCCTATCTCACAGGCATACATACAAGTACCAATTTAGACAGGAGCCAATTAACCTGCCAGCATGTCTTTGGGAGTGAGGGAGGAAACCGGATTACCCAGAGGAAACCCACACAAGCACAGGGAGAACATGCAAACTCCTTGCAGATAGTGACCTGGCCAGGATTTGAACCAGGGACCCCCAGCGCTGCAAAGCATAAGCACTAACCACTATGGTATACATTAATGTGTTTACATTAACATTTGCTATTTTGCCTATAGTGCTACTTTAATTTTATATTGAAATAATTTTGCTATACATAGTAGAAGAAACTAGTCTTAGAGTAATTCTAAATAGGACAGATAACTGAATTTGCACTTTTTATCTATCATAAACAATAGTCAAACTAGGATAAAACAATTTCATTCTGTTAGATATTTTGTTTTTTAGATTGCATAAAAATGAACTGCCAAAAGAAAACCTTGCATGTTCCTAAAAAGGTCATGAAGAAGTTATTTCTGAATCTATCCTCTTCACTCACTCGTCAGCTTTGGAGCTGAACTCCAACTTCACCTATTTCTGTCCCATCTGCTTTTTCCTCTTGCACTTGGGCATAGACTGTATTGTTCTTTAATTTTCTGTTCCTCTCATCCCTACTGTATGCCATTTTCACTGAAGATAATTACAGCCTGCACACTTCTGCCTGTGTGATGCCTAGCCTCCCACAAGACTCTTATAGACACATCCCCTGGGCTTTGAGAGTGTCAGTCAAAGCTGCTGATTACTCTGTGGTGCACAGAAACTCCATAAAGCCAGTTCCACCTGGATGGAAAAGAGACCCTTCCTTGCTGTAGAGGGATTACTTTGTAGATGGCAGTATATGTTGTTCTGTTGGTCTTTTAAAGCACACGTTGAGCATGCATTTGTATTAAAATGTGCTATGTAATAAAGGGGCCCCAGTTTTTTGGTGGAGCAAAATTGAGCTTGCTTTAAATAATAATCCTGTAGGCCAATCGTGGCTTCCCCGAAGCTTGGCCAAAAAACTTAAATTCGATGATCTGATCTAGGATGAGAGATCAGCAGCATCTTAGGAATGAGTGCTCTCCCTCTGTCTCACAACCTGAGCTGCTGCTGTGGCAGGGGAATGGACAGTGCACTGCAGATGGGCGGTTTTTAGACAGAAGAAGAGCACTCATTCCTCAGATGCTGGGGGGCACCTTACATGCTGGAGGTGTGCCCAATGGATCTCCCATCCTAGATTCTTTGCAAGACATGGAATGAAATGAAAGTTTTTTGGCCAGGTTTAAGGGAAGCCATACTTGGCCTACAGGATTATTATTTAAAGTAACAGCAATCTGACTTTGAAAATAGTTTTTTACATAGTACATTTTAATACATATGAGTATATATAATTAGATTGTTGCATATTGGAGTTTAGCTTTAAATTATGCCGATGTTACAACAGAACAAAAGCATAAACCAAAAATGATTTGGCTTCTAATTAAGTATATTATGTACTGGGTTAGCTGTATTTTTAGTGTTTGGAACTGGGCAGCCACAAATGTTTGTTGTTATAAGAAAGTAACTCTAAGGTGTGTATCTAAGATCTTCAAGTACATCTGTTAGGAATAACTAGAGGATAGTTTTCCAGGTAAAAGTGTCTCGATGATGATTTACAGCATTTCTGAAATACACTATTTCACGATAAGAAAAAAGACATACACTATGTTTCTTGTGTCATGCCCAGCATTCCGATGTTAAATTGTTAAGCAGTGCTCAACATGATAAATGTAGGAAAGAATATGATAATCCTTCCGTCCCTGTACTATATTCCAGTTCCATATGAATTCCTTTCCAAAGCTAAAGAGCAAGATATAACTTTTGTACAAAGATATAAGGACATTGCTACATAATATGATATATTTTAGGCACAGGGACTACATGAAGAATTGAGCAGATCATAATATATTAATGTCTCTGTTCATGCATAACTCAATAGAAGGAAGGTAATGCAAGACATCAAACTACAACCACTCCTCAGATTACTTGACCCCTGCATTGTATGAACCCATGGATATGTAAGCAATTTATCACCTGTCCACCACCTGCTAAAGTACTTACGTATTCTCACTTGTTCGGACAATGCTGCCAGCATACCACTAAGCATAAACTTTCCATATATTTATGGTCTACAAAATGCAGTGGAGCCAATGGAACTACTGATGATCACATGCATAAAAGCTGTTAAGAGCTGATTGGCCTGTCAGACAATGAGCATCCTTGCTGAAAAAGCCACTGAAATAAAATATATTACAGAGTAGACACTTGATAAAAGCATTGTTGCTTCAAGCCAAGATAGAAAGGTTTGCTTCGTGATCCTCCCAGAGCTTTTAAAGGAGTTGTAAATTCCCAGCATATCCTATCCTGTTATTACATCAGGATTGTAAGTAGAATACATATCAGAGTTGTTTTTGATCATTAATTCAAAGCTTAAAGGAGAACTATGGGGTCAGTGTTTTTCCCCATAGTTCTCCTTTAACTGAAAAAATCCCTTTTATGTAGTGAGTGCAGCTTTCTGTCTGTCCATCACTTTCATCAACTTCCTGGATTCCCAGCGTGCTTTACATCTCTTTTCCTGCTGCTTGATGTGATTAAATCACGATTTCTCAAGACTACATATCCCATCATGCGTTGCTTCCAGCAAGCAATGATGATGTTACATTGTTCAGACGTTGCGTTGTAGTTCAGAAGGCAAGCTCTGTCAGAGTTGTGACACAAGGAAGTGCATACTCACAGGGCTGAGTAAAATGGTGTCAGTGCATTAAGGAAGTACATCCTATGGGCATATTCAATAAGTAAGTTTACAAACTTCTAGATTTATATGGTTATTAGGAGTGGGATAAAACTTATGGAAATTCAATATAGAAATACAGATTTATTTTTAGTTTTTGACCATAGATCCCCTTTAAAGAAGAATTCTGGGTAAAAATGGTATTAACCAGTTGACATCCACGGTGTTAAACCCCCTTCCCATCCAGGCCATTTTTCAGTATTCAGCGCTGCGGTACTTTGACTGACATTTATTCCGTCATGCAGCGCTGTACTGAAATGAATTTTATACCCTTTTTTGGGGACAGATAGAGCTTTCTTTTGGTGGTATTTATTCACCACAAAGGAGAACTATGGGGAAAAGCCCTAACCCCATAGTTCTCCTTTAACCCTTGCAGTGAGGCTACTCCCACACTGCAAGGGTTAAATGCCCGTTTATGCCTAGGGCTAAAAAAAAAAAAAGTTATACTCACCCGAAGCTGAGCCTGAGCTCAGCAGTTCGGGTAAGTATAACCTTTTTTTTCCCCAACCTAGCCAAAAAGGAGCACTTATCCCTTGCAGTGAGGGTGTAGCCACACTGCAAGGGTTAATAAAACTTTTACCCAGAGTTCTTCTTTAATTAAGTCACAAGTTGTGTTTGTATCAGTTCTGCAAACTCGGTGTGTTCTGAAGAGAAGATCAATATGCACATGTAGTGAGTAAATATGGCTGCACCTGTGTACATATACATGAATATATCATGAAACATTCAAAAGATGACCAATTCTCTGTTAACATCATGTCTTCTTTTGTATAGGTGGAGGTGCCAAAATGGCTGAAATAAACAGACAAGCAAGGCTTACCAAAGGGAGCATTTCCTCTCGTCATGAACAACTTAAGCATACCCATTTGTTTTCTCCATCCACACCAGTTTTTTGATGCTTCTTAGGGGCTACTTGCAGCCTCGGCTACCTTCGCTACCCGACATTCCTTATAAATGCATTTCTTTATTTTTTCTGGGGGTCTGACGGCTGTTTATCAGAGACAGGAAAAGGGATTTCACAGGAGCACATACCAAGGGCTACAGATATGAAAATGAATATGAACAGTATTTTCTAAGACTGCATTCCATTATAATTTAATACAACATCAATGCAATATCATTTCCCAGCCCTACAATGGATATGTGAATTTACAGTAGCACAAAGGCCTCTTCCCCATTTATTTTATTGTTTTGTTCAATAAGAGTATTGGCTTGGGTGGGAAGTCCTGAAGACAGGAATAGTTTACATAGCTGTGATATAAACATTTATTCATGGCATGCAGAGCTTCCTTGTAGGGAGCCCAGAAGGTCATTATATTTCAGAATCCAAACAGGATCAAGAAGGGATCAGTGAAAATGGGAATTGTTCTAAATCAAGATATACTTCAGATTGCAGTGCTGTGCGACACCCTTTGGCAGGGGTAGGCAACCTTGGCCCTCCAGCTGTGGTGAAACCCCAAATCCCATTGTGCCTCTGAGAGCCACAGGCATTACCCCCGGTGACAGAGTCTTGCAATGCCTCATAGAGTTCTACCCTTGACTTATGGCAATGAATCAGAAGCCACCTTTTATCCCCTTAGGTTGGTCACATACAATGGCCATTAAAACACTAATCATGTGAATTTTCAGAGATGCTTATTTACCTAATATGTCCATATACACCAAGGGTAAGCAAAATCAGGCCCTCCAGCTGTGGTGAAACTACAAACTCCATCATGCATTTGCCCCTGGAAGTCATGTATTTGGCTGTCAGAGTAATTCAGTGCCTAATGGGATTTGTAGTTGCATCACAGCTGAAGGGTCAGAGTTTTCCAAACCCTGCTATACACTTTCCAATGAATCACTAACGACTGGCCCTTTCTGGCTGATCTCTGCTGTATCAGCAGAAAACTATAACAATCCATTATGTCTCTACCAAATATAATGCTAGTCTCCCAAAATGATCATTGATACCCCATGTATTGTGTTATGGCATGATTATATCAGCTTCATATTATGACAGCCTTTCTCTTTGTATGACCAGCTAGAAGGTAGAAAATAAGGGTGACTTGGGATGAAAAATCTTAGGACACAAACCATTGCAGTTTACCCCGTCAGAAGAGTGGCATCTGGGACTGGAATGACACTATAATGTTATACAAATTCTGCTATATAGAGCACATCTCTAACTTATGTTTTTCCATAAAGAAAAGCAGCAAAACGCACAATAACGCAGTAAAGCCCAATAAAGCACACACATTTAAGATGTCCACTAAAGCATAGCTTTATAATGTTGTAGTATAAATCCAGCTTTAAAGTGTAAACCCAAGAGTCAATATATAATGTATTGCAGCTTACCAGTCCATAATTGTGGTGGCTGCATTAGTTTTCTTTTTTTAGCCTTTTTCCCCCTTTTATTTCCACCTGGAGATCCTGCTAGCAAGTCTGTTATTTTTCAACTTTCTTTTAACAGACCAAACTGTCCATCAAAAGTGGCAGATAGAGGGTTGAGACAAACTACTGAACACTGACAGGGGTGCTTGCAATGGTCAGCTTTTATACATTTATGCAAAACCTTTATCCTAAAAGGAAAAAGCTGTAACTACTGTGTTGTAAAGGGTTAGCTGATGATTGCATATCATTTAATAGTAGGGATGTTCAGATACCAAGTACCGTACTTGGTACATGTACAGACACTTTTCCAGCTCCAAGACTAGACTAGAGAAAAACGCGAAAGTTAGGAGGCAGCTGTCATTTGTAAGGAGTATACAGAGCTCCTGGGATTTGTACATCTCTGTTTTAATGTATGATTTGTTTTATATTTATATATATATATATATATATATATATATAAAACGTCGCCACTGGACTCTAGAGAAGTGGAGATGTGTTCTCTGGAGTGACGAAGCACACGTCTCTGTCTGGCAATCCAATGGACGTGTCTGAGTTTGGCGGTTGCCAGGAGAACGGTACTTGCCTGACTGCATTGTGCCAAGTGTAGAGTTTGGTGGAGGGGGGATTATGGTGTGAGGTTGTTTTTCAGGGGTTGGGCTTGGCCCCTTAGTTCCAGTGAAGGGAACTCTTAAGGCCTCAGCATACCAAGACATTTTGGACAATTTCATGCTCCCAACTTTTGGGGTTTGGGGTGGAGGAACTTGACTGGCCCTCACAGTTCTGGCCTCAACCCATAGAACACCTTTGGGATGAATTAGAATGGAGACTGGGAGCCAGGCCTTCTCGTCCAACATCAGTACCTTAACTCACAAATGCTTCTGGAAGAATGGTCAAACATTCCCATAGGCACACTCCTAAACCTTGTGGACGCCTTCCCAGAAGAGTTGAAGCTGTTATAGCTGCAAAGGGTGGGCCAACTCAATATTGAACCCTACAGACTAAGACTGGGATGCCATTAAAGTTCATGTGTGTGTAAAGGCGGGCGTCCCAATACTTTTGGCAATATAGTGTATATAAGGGATGCACAGATACCATTTTTTCCAGACCAGGTACAAGTACTTGTCCAAGTACTTACAGATACAATTACTGATATAATTTTAGTTTATTGTCATGTGTCAGTTTTTCTAAAACAATACAAACTAATGATTTCAGGACAGTGGTGGACAGCCAGAACCCAGTCACAGCTGCAACTGCTATGACCCTGGTAGTTCTTGTAAAATGCCAAGTATCGGCACTGGTATCTGAACATCCCGATTTTATAGTCAAGGTCCATCCAAATCTGCTAGTGCATCTAAAGCTGGGTACACAGAGATCATATTTTTGACTTTTGTTGAAGAGAGATGAAGGGAAATCATTGGCTGAACAGTGCTTGCAGCCAATCAGTTTTATTCTGATAGCGGTGGGTGCTGTTGTCAGAATAAAATGTACACAGCGGGAGATTCGTTCATCCATGCTGTTAGCATGGATGGAGGAATCTGTCATGAAAATATGCCTGCATGCACCCAGGTTAACACTCCCCTCTCTACAGATTGACAATGCTGCTAAGGGTGGATCCATTCTTCCTCCATAGGATGGAGCCACCCTAAGACATGAAGTGTGTTACTAGTCGGATCACCAGGTGAAAATAAAGGAAAGAAACAAAAAACAAATGCAGTCACCACATCTAAGGATTGGCAAACTTCACTATGTCAAGGTTTTGTTTCTGGGCTTAGATACACTTTACATTAGCCATGAATGATTTGTATTCCCGTTTTGAAGGTCTCTTTGGGCTGCTAGTGAAATTATATCACAGCGATTGACGCCACATAATCAGTGCAGTTTCTCAGATGAATATATTGATCTTGATGTTTACTTTAGGTTGCAGTATCCTAAATAAACAGTAAGTCACAGTTTTTTGGGGGAACAGATAACATAGTGTCTATCACGTAGTGCAAGAACTTCCCTCTGTCACCCTCTCCAATGTGAATTGGTTAACAGATAAAACATGGCTTAGAAGCTGTGTGAGAAGATATTGATGGGTACTGAGTATCACTGTTATTTAAAGTAATAAAATACATTTGCACAGATATAAATATATATATTTTTGACTTGTTGTAAATCTGTTGTGGAGAATAAATGTTTCAAGAGCTTAATAAACATTCTAAATGCATGTGTAATTAAAGTTTTCCAGCAGCCTCTCTGGAGTATGTTGTCTGGCACTGCTTGTATCTTTGACAGGGAAAAGATACTTTCTGCTTCAATTGGCCATATAAGGAAATCACAGCAGCTTGCTCTCTATTCACAAGGCAAGGGAGGGTGAGAATGTTTGGGGGATGAAATGGCATAACAAGAGGACTGAGAAACATAAAAAATAGCTAACTGCCATTGCACTGCAATATATTATCTGTAATGGATGCAAAGAAAATAAGTATTACGTGTTTGCTGATGAATTTGGCATCTTCAAGACTTCATGTTTTAAAGCAACAAAGCTGCATACTTTAGTAATACGTTAGTTCAAGGATGCACTTCTTCAAAGTCTTGCTAGCTTATAGACAGATTTTTCATACAAAAGAAAATTACATTTGTTTAAATAGGTTTTTAAATATCTCATGGCTAGTAGACTGTTATGCTGGGCACACACCTTACAACCATTGCAAAAGTCTTGCGATGGTTGTAAGGTAATCAGGCAGATCATACTTGCGATGATCGCAAGCCCGCCCCGCTGAGGGGGGGGCTTTTGATGACTGCAATGCCGAACGGGCCCGTCCGGCTTTTATCTTACGAACATGCTACACACCCGCTGAAAATCGTATGATTCTCGGCGGGTTTTCGAACATGTCCATAAGATAAAAGTCGTGCAACCTTACAGTAGTAGAGGTCGCACGGCTTCCACACACCTTACGATAATCAAGGTGTGTGGGCAGATAAAGACCTTGCTGACCTATGTATTACATGGTGCAAAAGCACACTGCAATTGTCTCTATTTCTCTAACTGCAGAGGAGCACCTAGTCTTAAAAATCCTGTGCATAGTTAAAGGATAGGTCCACCTTTTGAAAAAAATAAAGAAATGCATATTTATTAATATAAAAACAATAATGCATTACTTTATTTTTGCATTCAAGCATGGAAAGCATTGCAACTGCGATTACTCGACCAGGGCTGCAGAGCTCAGGCTTCTGCACATTCTCTCTCAGGCAGAGCTTCATACTGAGGTACCAAGTTTCAGTTAGGAGAGATGAGGAAGGACGGCCGGACTTCAAACTGCATTAAATCAGGTCATACAGTGTCCAGCCGTCCTCTCTCTGGTTAGATGCGGTACAGCTGTCCTTATTCTCGTCCAGCCATCCTTCCCCATCTCTCCTAACTGATACTCTGTACCTCAGTACGAGCTCTGCTAGTATGAGCATGTGCAGAAGCCGAGTGATCACCTCTGCAATGCTTTCCAGGCTTGAATGTAAATATGAAAGAAATGCATATTGTGTTTTTAGATTATTAAATATGCATTTCTTTCATTTTTGCAAAAGGTGAACTTAGCCTTTAACACTGCATCTACGGATGATGGCTGCCCTTTGACATTGTGCATTAAAAGTGATCATTGGCAAGGAGACGTGTCTGTTAGCTTACATCTTGTGATTTTATGGTGACTGCAGTTGTCGGGGTCTGCTCCTCTCACAATCCAAAGCACTCA